CCCCCCCCCCCCCCCGCCGCCAGGCATCACATAATGGCCTCACCTGCTTCCTAAGGGACTATTGGTCAAGTGGCTTAAGGCCCTGGCTTAGTGTGTGCTTTGTGAGCCTCCTGTGGTTGGTGTGGCTGCATTTTTATGAAGGGGGTGTTAGCTTGGACTTCCAGTGAATGGTGATACAGTTTAATGGCTTGAAATGATAGGAACTCTGAAACAGGACTTCCTCCCCTGCAGGCAGAAGGCTGGGGATTGGTGGCCTGAGATTGGCCTGACAAACTCAGAACAGAACGCCTGCTGAGCCTCTGCTGACCGGGAACAGAACTGGTTACCTTGCTGGACCCTGGGGGAGATAGACAGATAGATAGATATGTATATAATTGACCTAAAAAATTTTAACAGTATACACTGTATTTAAATGTATTCAAACACTTTTTTGAGAGTAGACTTCTTTTTCACTTTTTCACCTGTAAACAAATGCCTGCTCTTATAATAATTTTTTTTTTTTAATGCAGAAAACACAAAGAAGTAAAACCAACCATAGTTTTATAACCTCAAAAAGCCACTCTACATTTTGGTGTTTTTCCTCCCTGAATCTTTTTTAATCTTGTGTGTTGATTACATAATTGTGGTGTTTTCCTTCGACTGTAATGAAGCAGTTCTTTGGAGGGGGGACTCCAGGGCCTCCTTTATGTGGACTGGCCCGGAGACTGCGCTGTTGCTGTAGAGATTCTGGGTTGGTCTAGGCAGAGGGACTTCAGGATTATTCACAGGGTGAGATCCTGGGTGCCTTGAACTTCCTTAGACAGCTCATTTTATTTTGGAGCAATTTCTTGCTGAATGCAGTATATTACCATCTGTTAGTCTGGGGAGAGGAAATCTCAGGGCAAAATACCTCAAAAAACCGAAATCAGTCAAAGGGAGAAATAAAGTTTAAAATCCATTTATTGCTCACAAACTGCAGTCTGGCCCATCTCTCCCTCCTGCTCAAGCAGCAGCAAAACCAGCCCCCTTCCCCCTCACCTCTCCAGTACAGATAAGCCCTCTGTTGCCCAGGTGATTACCCACTGATATGGAGATGAACTTCTCCACCTCTGAGGAATGATGCAAATGCCCTAAAGCCATAATTCTTTCCACTTATGAACACCAGTTGATTCGCAGATGTAGCAAAGCCAGGTGAGATATTGTGTAAATGTTACAGTTTTACCTACACCATCCTTCTTCATATGCCTGTTTATTGAGCATTTGCTGGATGAAAGGCTTGTACTCAGCATTCTTCATGTATTCTCTCCCAGGAACCCTGTACGGAGGCTACCATTTCATAGATAAAACGCCAGACATCAGAGACTTTAAATAATCTTCTCTAGTCACATAGCTAGTAAATCGTGGAGTTACAGTCCAAGACAGGGCCTTCTGAAGGGCACTTGTAGTTGAGGCAGATGAACGCTTGACAACTTTTTGGTTTACAAAGCAGCCTTTGCTGCTGCTCCTGGGAACATGCTGGGCAGGTGGAAATAACCTCTTCTTCCTAATTAAGAACTGATGCTCAGAGAACTTACTAGGTTAATTCAAACCATGTGGGAAGTGAGTGGGTGGGAAGCTGAAGGTTAGAACCTCTACCTTCAGTTCCTGGTTCGTCATGTTGCCTTCAGAGTCAGGGATCTGGAGAGGGCAGAAGGTCGGAGGGACTTTAAGAGACAAGAGGGTGGGCGTACAGTGCTAAGGAGGGGAGCCCATGAGCAAAGCTTCGGAGCTGGGACCCAGTGGGGCTTGTTTGAAGGCGAGGGGCCAGGTGATGGGAGGCAAGGCAGAGCACTGGCTTTGCGGTCTGACACACCTGGGCTTGGAGCCTGATACTTTGTGTAAAAAGTGAAGGTAGCAAATCCTAGTTGGTTCCCACTGAGAATTAAAGGAAGTAATTTAGTTGAAATTGCCTGTCCTGCATGCTTGGCATATTATAATCCTTCTGTACTGTTTTGCACATTGTCTTATAAACAGTGGGAGCCTTTGAAAGATTGGTCAGGGGAATAGGTTGACAAAGTGGAAGTGTTCTGAACATTAGCATGCCAGTGTGAAGGACAGCAGGGGAATGGGGGCCTGAATTCCAGCCAGGTGGCATTTCCTGCAATTAAAAGGCTGATAGAGGGTAAGAGAGTGGGCGAGAAATTTCAAAGGAGTCATCTGCAGACTTGGTGATAGGCTGGTCTTGCCAATGGGCTTCAGCCCTGGACAAGTTAACTGTGGATTCAATGACACCGAGAAAATGACAGTGGAATGTTCTTGGGGTGAAAGAGTTTATACCCAACTGTATTCCCATGGTGCCAGGTCAGTCACTAGAATCCTGTCCACTCAAGGGCAAGTCTGTGTGCAGCAAGCTGGTCTCTGCCTCTGGGCCTCTCTGCCCCCTGCAGCTGTCTTAGTTTCTGTCCTCGACGCTGCCACCACCCCAGTCCTCTTTTCTCCTGGAGCCCTGCAGCTGTGCAGCAGCCTAAAGCACTGGGTGGAGCTCTTTTTATAGGGTCAGTAACAACAAATTGCCTACATGTGTGTAGTGAGCTAGCTGACCAGGGCCAGGTGAGAATCCTGGCCACAGGAACCTTCACTTTCTCCACAGCTGGTTATGGGGAGGGATGGGCATCTCTGCTTACTGGCTTTTTTTTTTTTTACTCCATTTATACTGTTTCCCTCCTCACTCACTGCTGTGTTCTTGCCCTTGCAGGAGCCTGTGTGAAATGCAGCAAAGGGGTGTTTGGGGCCGGCCAGGCCTGCCAGGCCATGGGGAGCCTCTACCACGACACGTGCTTCACCTGTGCAGCCTGCAGTGAGTATGCTGGGGAGGGGAGGGTGGCCAGGGGTGTGCAGGCCAAGGAAGGGTGGGCAGAGAGAGCCTCCTTCGTGGTCCACAGGGAGGCAGGGCATGTCCTTTCAAGCACCAGCCTAAGGCCTGTCAGGGTAAGGACTTACACAGGGTACCAGGCCTTGCCTGGGGTGGACTTTGGTGATCAGTGTGTCTGAAGCAATCCCTAATTATACCACATTTGTAGTACCCATCAGGCCCAGAAGCCTTGGAGGGGAAGGCGCTGGGATTCACCACCGTCTGCCCTATTGTCAGCAATCTCCCTGCTGTGGGGGCCAGCTGACCAAAAGGCAGTGAGTGCCTGTGTTGGGGGCACACCGCACAAGCACCCATGCCTGTTAGCACACACTCCTGTGGCATCTTTCTACTGTGGGATACACATTATGACTCAAGCAGCAGATTTAGGAGACTGGCCTGTGCTCGGCTCGCCAAGGGGCTTGCTGAATCAATGGCGGCCACAGGGGAGGGTGTAACACACTGCAGGGTGTTTGTCAGCCCGACCAAGCCGTGACTGTGCTTGCTTTACGGTCTCCACCGAAGATTAGCTTGAGGAGGATTTTTGGAAAAGGTCCCGCTGATGTTCTTCTAGCCTACACGGAGGCTAGCAGCTATCAGTTAAGGGAGAACACCACAGCAGAGGCACCGAGTGTCAGGGATGAAGGGGCCTTTCTCATCATCTGGCTGGTGGCTCTCAGTTCTGGATGCCCATTAGAATCACTGAAAGCCAGTGACGCCCAGCCCAACCTGGCCAGCAGGATCAGATGCTCTAGCAGTGGGATTTCTGCAGTGGGGCAAGTGTACTGTTCAAATCTCCCCAGGGGACTGCACGGTGTGTTTGGGGCCGAGCACCCAGGATTAGTGCCGGACTCCTCATCTTAGAAGCCTCTGGAAAAGGGAAGAGGAGGGAACTTGCTCTTAGTTGGATTGTGGCACGGAGATTCTGTGGAGTTTTAGACTCTGTGGCTTCCCAGTCTAAAGTTAACCAGGTGGCGTGGACCTGCCTCCTGACCTGCCAAACCTTGTTGGTGAGTCAGAGGTCTAGGTTCTAAGCCTCACACTCAGTCCTCACTGCAATTTCCCGTAACACACATGTCTGAGAGTTTGTAGTTTGTGTCTTGATCAGTATTCACATTTATAAGATGATGAAAGACTGAAATGGATCAAAACGTCTACTGAGCCTCCTCAGTGGAAGTGTAGGTGTTGTCTGGTTATCGGATTCTCTGGGTCCCTGGGCCTTCCCTTGTCTCAGAGCTACATTACACTCTGTAAACTGTAGAATCCTAGTGTCAGCATAGGCTAGTTCTCATCCCTAACAATGCGAGCTCTAGTGGAGTTGCAGTTGTCGCCGCCCTGTGGAGACTGACCTTAATAAGCAAGTTCATTCCAGCATTTCTGAGGGCTTACACATTTATGGTTCTTTGTGGTCTCCCAGTTGTAGCATCTGATCGGCTCCCTCATTAAATGGTGAACTAAAAACACAAACGTCTCAGATTTTACTGGTCTGTACCAGAGTTGATCATACCTTCTTTTAAAAATTGTCTTTCACTTACGACTCCTCCAACTGTTTCTCAATGTTTACTCCATTTTCCAAGAAAAAGGAAAATACTAACTGGGAGCTGTTTTTCTTCTCAACAATTACCATTTGAACTAAGCAAAGTTGGTGGGGGAAAATCCTATTGAAAAGCCAGTTCGTTCCCCCTGTGCCTGCGTGACTATCTGTGGGTTCCTTAGTGGGTTGAGTTCATCTTGCTTCACAGTATGACAAGCACACACTTAAGGAAGACACAGCTGGCTTGGGATTTTGCTTGTCTAGCATTTGAGGGGCTGTGGTCTGGTGTCTGTCTTACTGCTTCCTACTAGCTTATCACAGTCAGACTCAATTGCTCTTTCTCACTTCCATGTCTCTGATCACACTGCTTGCTCCCTCCAGACTCCTCTCCCCACCCACTTCATACACTTAAATTCTTTTCAACCTTTAGGACCCAGCTCAATGGCTGCCTCTTTCAGGAAGTCTTCGCTGTTCTACTAACAGGAAGGAACCTTTTCTCCTAAACTCAGCATGTGCTGCTTTCTTGCTGGTGGTCTCATGTAGACTGTGAACCACGCTCTATGTGACTGGTGACAGCAAGCCAGGCCTTAGAACAGAGCTTTTAAGGGAATGAGGACAGGGACTCCATCAGAGGGTGAGTGCAGCGGCATTCCTGTTTGCTGAGAAGCCTGTTTACATGCCTGCTGTGTGCAAACATACAGTTCTCCCTAGTGACGGAGCAGTTGGAGACTCAGGCATGCATCTGGCAGCTTCTCTTGGACACTGGAAGTAGTTTGCCTTTGTTCAGGTGACTTACTGCTGCCCTGTTAATGCAGGAGGAGGCCCAGACACAGCATGTCCTGGACCTGCAGGTACTTGAGTTTGTCTCTGTGAATGTTGGCACCATGGAGATGGCACGGCTAGGTCAGTGTACTCAGTCCCTCCCCTCCTCCATTGGTGGAAGACAAAGTGGGGGCCCACAGATGGGAACAGAATTTCTCAAGATTAAGAACCTAGCAAGGATGGCAAAACTGGACAGCTACATGCAAGAGAATGAAACTGGATCACTGTCCAACCCCACACACAAAAGTAAACTGAAAATGGATCAAAGACCTAAATGTAAGTCATGAAACCATAAAACTCTTAGAAGAAAACATAGGCAAAAATCTCTTGAATATAAACATGAGCAACTTTTTCCTGAACGCATCTCCTCGGGCAAGGGAAACAAAATAAAAAATGAACAAATGGGACTACATCATACTAAAAAGCTTCTGTACAGCAAAGGACACTATCAGCAGAACAAAAAGGCATCCTACAGTATGGGAGAATATATTTGTAAATGACATATCCAACAAGGGGTTAACATCCAAAATATATAAAGAACTCACATGCCTCAACACCCAAAAAGCAAATAACCCTATTAAAAAATGGGCGGAGGCTATGAACAGACAATTCTCCAAAGACAAAATTCAGATGGCCAACAGGCACATGAAAAGATGCTCTACATCCCTAATTATCAGAGAAATGCAAATTAAAACCACATTGAGATATCACCTCACACCAGTTAGGATGGCTGCCATCCAGAAGACAAACAACAACAAATGTTGGCGAGGATGTGGAGAAAGGGGAGCCCTCCTACACTGCTGGTGGGAATGTAAATTAGTTCAACCATTGTGGAAAGCAGTAAGGAGGTTCCTCAAAAAACTAAAAATAGAAATACCATTTGACCCAGGAATTCAACTCCTAGGAATTTACCCTAAGAATACAGGAGCACAGTTTGAAAAAGACATATGCACCCCTATGTTTATCACAGCGCTATTTACCATAGCCAAGAAATGGAAGCAGCCTAAGTGTGCATCAGTAGAGGAATGGATAAAGAAGATGTGGTACATATACACAATGGAATATTACTCAGCCATAAGAAAAAAACAAATCCTACCATTTGCAGCAACATGGATGGAGCTAGAGGGTATTGTGCTCAGTGAAATAAGCCAGGTGGAGAAAGACAAGTACCAAATGATTTCACTCATCTGTGGAGCGTAAGAACAAAGCAAAAACTGAAGGAACAAAACAGCAGCAGGATCACAGAACCCAAGAATGGACTAACAGTTACCAAAGGGAAAGGGATGGGGAGGATGGGTGGGAAGGGAGGGATAAGGGGAAAAAGGGGCATCACAATTAGCACACATAACTTGTGGGGGGGCACAGGGAAGGCAGTATAACACAGAGAAGACAAGTAGTGACTCTACAGCATCTTTCTACACTGATGGACAGTGACTGTAATGGAGTATGTAGGGGGGACTTGATAATGGGGGGAATCTAGTAACCACATGTTGCTCATGTAAGTGTACATTAATGATACCAAAATAAAAAACTAAATTAAAAAAAGAACCTAGCAAGGAGCTGGCACCCAAGTCTGAGACTCCAGGATCTGGGTTAGCCTTGCATGTCCCCACCTTTCTGGTGGGTGAGTATGTGTGTTTTCTGTTTTCCCATTTCATTTGTGAAAATAATTTAGCTTAAAACACTGTAGAGACATATTTCTGTAGATACACATGTACACACTTCTTCGATTTTATTGATATTTTATTAAAATGAAATGTTAGGATCTTACCAAGTTCACACACACACACAAGGAAAGGCCAAGGCTTGACTGATTTGACTGGTAAAAATACAACGAGCCACGTTAGGTTGAGACAGCTTATACTGTCATGCTGAAGGACATGCCAATGGTGCCAGCTTCCCAGGTCCTTGTCCTGCACACCATAAAGGAGGATATCGAGGCAAAAGGGCCAGAAACTGCAGTGTGGCTGGGGCTGAGCAGCCAGTCCTAGTCGTTCTGTTGGGGGCGGTGGGGCAGAGAGCGTGGCTCATCAGAGGTGAGGGACCGCCGGGCGCTCAGCGGGGGAGGAGCTGCTCTCATCGCAGCGGCGCCCCGCCTCCTGTCCTCTCGTGTCCTGGGAGGACAGCACGGTGTTCCTGGGCCTCTGTGGCTGGTGCAGGTTCCCTCTGGCGCTGCGGGTTTCCCTCGCAGATGCACACGCTGCCGGGGAAGCGAGCAAGGAGAGTTCATTTGTAGCCGTGAGAACATGACAACCGCAGAGAGAACAGTAAAGGCAGACACCTGTTATGCTAATCCACACGGGTGTTTTCACTTGCATGCTTTCCCTTCTTGGTTTTGTACAGATTTACACACATTTGTTAAAGTTGTGGTCATAGAGTATAAACAGTGTTGTATCCAGTTAGATTTAATATGTCATAAATTCATCCACATCTCTGCTGTCTTCATATTAATCATTTTAACAGTTGCATAGTAATCGACTGAGTCATACCAGTTTTGTGGCATTTAGCTCGTCTTGGGGTTCTTGGTCCTTACACAGAGCCCCAGCTCCTGTCTCTGTGTGCATATTTTTACCCCTCTGCTGAATTGTTTTCT